ATATATATATACACAATGTTATTTATGTTTATTATTATATATTTTGTCTTTTTATATGATATTTATTAATTCTTCATATAAAATTTAAAGATGTGTGAATACTACTTGAATTAAGTGAGATTGAATTTGATTTGTATTTGAATCTCTTTGAAAGATTCGGAAAATCTTGATTTACACATCTAATAAAATTAATATGATTTATTTTATTTAATATTCTATAATTAATTTGTTATTTTTATTAATTTTTATTAAATATCATTTTCAGGAGATATTGAAGTCTGGGATGCAAGGAGGCAACCGAGCGGCAATAATCCTTGCAAGCGAAACAACGGCAATTGTTCTCATCTATGTCTTTTGAGCTCGAAGGAACCTGGTTATAGTTGCGCCTGTCCCACGGGCGTCAAACTGATTGACAAATACACATGCGCCAACAGACCGGAACAGTTGCTGCTAATCGTCCAACGAACCGAAATCTGCCGGATATCCTTGGACTCGCCTGATTATACAAATTTCGTATTGCCACTCACCGGCATTAAACATGCAATTGCAATTGACTTCGATCCAGTAGAAGAGTTGCTGTATTGGACTGATGAACAAACAACTGCCATCAGGCGAGCTCCTCTCGATGGAATGAGTCAACAGAATGTGATTTCCACAGAGGTGTGTAATTGTTTCTCTTTTTCTTTTTCTTGTTTAATGTTTGGTCTTGAAAATACGTTATTTTAATAATAAAAACATAATATCTTTCAATTCAGCAATGGCTCAATTCTTAAATTTTGATTTAATTGAATTAAAATTACATAAATTGTTCTTGAAATTTCCACGGGTGCTTTTTATATAAAAATTATGCGTTTTGCGGGTTTCCTCCGTGTCCAGATTCATTCTTGGAATGCCAACGTTTCGTGAACTTTGCAGTCTACTTCATCAGGGCGAGGAGCAGCCTGATACTGAGCTGTTCCTCTGGGCCGTTCCTTTTTATATTACGCTACTTGTTGGAGTGAAAATAATATTTTCAAGTTAATTGATATTAGCAATTCCATTAGAAATGAATCTATAAGAAAATTACAGAGACTAAAACAATCGTATTATGGAATTAATAACAATGACAAAATGATAAAAAAATAGCTTCAATCAACGAAATCGTTTATTAATAATCAGAGAGTCTCTTCACAAGAACGGACAAAGGAAATACTACGGTTGTTCTTGATAGGAATGATTACAATTTGAGGATGAAGATGTCGGACTCGGACACTTATAAATTAATCAATAAAAAATCTATTAATAAATTGACATCTGGGGCGCGCATCCTTTCTGAGTGGAAAAACAAGGAATATATTGATGAATATGGTGATATAGTAAATTGTTGGTGATAGAATTTTGCCATATGCATATGGATTATCAAAGATACATAAACATAACGTTCTTCTTAGGGTCATAGTGTCATGCATTAACAGTCCGTTGTATTATATTGCTTCATACTTACACAACATCAAGAAAAGTATCCTTTCTCATTTTAGTAGTATCTTATTGAAAATAATTATCAGTTTAGTAGTATCGAAAATAATTATCAGTTTAGTAGTATCGAAAATAGTTAACAAAATAGTTAACGCACAATCAATGGATTACCTTTAGATCCAAATTATACCCTAAACTCTTTAGTGTCGTTATTCACGAACGTACCGTTAAATCTAGCTATTGACGTATAAAAAGAAGATGGAATAAATTTCACGAAGATACCTATGAAGCAGACTTTTAGAGCAAAGAAGCCATTATATTTTTGCGTTATATACTGGAATTACTATAATTCTATCTTTTGATTTTTGCAGGTGGCGAATCCAGACGGTATTGCAATAGACTGGATCGCTCGCAATCTCTATTGGACCGATACCGGGACCGATCGGATTGAAGTGGCGCGACTAGATGGGAAATATCGGCGTGTGCTGGTGAATGAAGATCTATTCGAACCACGAGCGATCGCGCTCGCACCTGAGCACGGCTGGATGTTCTGGAC